CATTTTTGTTTCTCTATGTATATCTCGAAATCGGATTTGAAGTATTCAGAGATTTTAGACACATATCTTGTGAACATTCACAAATGTACTCGAAATTTTTGGAATTTTTTAATTTTTCTTTTTAGTGGTATCACGGTATCATTTAAACGTGAAATTGTGTAGTAGTACCACAATATCATTTTTGTGTAGTAGTACCACGATATACATGTAGTGGTATTACATCTACTTCCTCCGTTCCAAAATATAAGTCTTTCTAGAGATTCCAATAGGTAACTACATACGGAGCAAAATGAGTGAATCTATACTCTAAAATATGTCTACATACATCCGTATGTTATAGTCCATTTAAAATGTCTAAAAAGACTTATATTTTGGAACGGAGGGAGTATTTCATTTCCTATAGGGAAAGAGATAGCATTTGATTCAGAGGATACAAACTTTTTCATTGGGTCTAGGCTGAAAAAAATTCTTTTGAAATGTGAAGGATTGGTTCCCATTGTACAGAGGAATATGAATCTGTTCCTACAAACCAAAGGGCTCAAAAGAAATTTTTCCTACAAAATTACTATCCTTTAGAATTTCTATAAAATTCCCATAAACCAAAAGAGGCCTAAGCTCCATGGGGTTGGGAGCCCTGTCACTTAATTGAGGTCCCCAATTTGACATTCCATGCAGGATTTTGGCTGAGTCATGCCGTTGGTTTATGTGGAAGTTTTTGGCGATGGGTGTAGCCCATTTGTAAGAGGTTGGGAGGTGTGGCTCGGTCCATGCAAGTGCATGAAGAAAACCAATGGGAAAATAGCTGGTCGAAACAAGGGAAATACCCTTTGGTTCCTCGGTGTATATATATTTTTTGATAAAGAGATCTCTCTCTCTCTCCAATTTCATATAGAAGAAACCACAATGTCTTCGGAACTACAAAGCCACTACCAACTACCGACAGAAACATTTGACAGCGCTATTACAAGGGCGGGAGCCATCCCTTCGTCCCTCCCAACAGCTGATATCAAACAGGCTACACACAACATAGACACCAGGGCAAACCTAAAGCCCACATCCTGGTATATTTATTACATGTCCAAAAGATAAACAACAAGAGGAGCATAAGAAGATGAAGCGGCGGTGAGAACTCCAAGGGGGGGGGGTCTTCATCATGTTTGGCCTCCAGGAGCAGTCAGTCTTGGCACTCCTGTCATCCACCCATGCGCTGCTTTGAAGATCTCCCAAGCCACCCGCTCAACCTGCCTTACGCCCTGCGTCATGCGCCTTATTTTTTCTTGGTTTTTCTGCAACACACACCAATCATGTAAGTTTTTAGTTATCATATTCACAGGCACACAAGGGTCTACTGCCCTGGTATTATCAAAGACCAATTTGTTTCTAAGCTTCCACATAGTTCATAGCATCGCAGATATGCCTACAGTTAAAAGACTTTTATCATTTTTATCAAATTTGCCAAGTCATACACCAAAAATGTTATTAACACTATCAGGAGTATCATGCATACCAAACGAGCATTTCATAACCAACCATAACATTTTTGCAACAAAACAATGTACGAAGAGATGATCTATGCCCCCCCCACACACACACAGAATGAGCATTTACCGTCACCTTGCCACCCTCTCTTTTTAAAATTGTTTGTAGTGAGAATGCTATCTCTCAACATCAACCATAAGAAAACTTTAATCCTAGGGGGCATTTTGGTTTTCCATAGAAAATTATAGGGATATTTGAGTCCAGTCTGAACTAAATGTCTGTAACATGACTTAACAGTATATTTACCATTGCCCATCAAAGTCCATCAAATTTTATCATTTTGTCCATCTAGAGTTACACTCTCACACACCTCCCTGATATGATCCCACAGTTCCAGCGACTCTCCCAATAGAGTTCTTCTAAATCTCACATTGCCAAGCCCATTTTTTAAATTACCACCACTGATTTGCTCTTATCAAAGCATATGTTGTATAAGTGAGGGTAGCTGTCTTTTAAGGACTTTGAGCTGATCCACTAATCTTCCTAGAACCTGGTGTTTTCACCATTCCCCACATTGAATTTAGACAAAGAGAAGTAGAATTCTTTGTGTTTTAACAATCCCCGCCCCCCCCCTCCAAAAAAAAATTGCAAGCCCCCTCTATATTTGACAGACTATTCAAAAAATATTCCGATTCAACAATTATCATCCGATTTATCACTACTCTTGGGGTGACCGCTAAGATTATGCCTTTCTTCACTGTTTATCATTTGAGCCGATTTATCGCTCTGGGAAGCGATTTATCTGGAATTCACACTATGTAAATTCACACTATATCGATAAATCAGACCTATTCATAGCACTATGTTTGCAAAAACTATGTGTATTTGTGTTTTGTGAACCTTGTTATGCAATATGTACATTATCCTATTTTGTTTGTCATTATACGATGATTCAAAGGCTAGGAATCAAGGTAACACTTCTATGCAATATTGTTTTGGTGTTGAATATAGAATATTTAGTGTTGGGAACCTGGGATTTGCAAAAAAATGTCCAATTAATAGTCGACCGGTAAAATTGATTAATCGGCCAATTTCTGATTAATCTCTAATCCCTAGCTGTCCGATCAACATTACTAGTGACACAAGTTTTTTAATGTATGTGCCTTTCAACACATTTTGCCACATCCCTTATGTACTATAAATTATCAACCACCATTTATGCAACAAAGCTTTATTCATAAAAGCTAAATTTTGAACACCCAGACCACCCATATCCCTAGGCTTACAATCCTCTAACCATTTGACTAAGTGATATTTTTTCTTATCAATAATTTCTTCCCACAACAGTCTAGCCCGAAAGAAATCCAACCTCTTATTAACCCCAACAGGCAACCCATAAAAAGACATCATGAAACAAGGTATGCCTGTTAGGGAAGATTGGATCAAAGTCAACCTCCCAGCACTAGCTAGCAACCTGCCTTGCCAAGTTCCACATTTTCCCCCATATCTTCCTTAGAGGGTTTCTATGGTTTATTTATAATTCTTTTTTGTCAATAGGAATCCCTAAATATTTCAGTGGGAGGTCCCCCACTGGCCAGGAAAATATCCTAGAATATTCCTGCCTTTTTTCAGCAGCTTTCCCAAAAAGGAACAACTCACTTTTATGATTGATTTTCAGACCAGACATTTGCTCAAAACAAGCATAATATATATTTCAGATGGTGAGCACTTTCATAATCATCTCGCATAAGGAAAATAGTGGCGTCTGCATATTGCAACATATTGACACCACCTTTGAGGGTTTCAGACAGGCATTTCATTAAACCAGCTTTCCTAGCATTATCCATTAAAATCGCCAAAGCATTAGTTGCTAAATTGAACATTAGGGGGGCCAGGGAATCCCCCTGTCTCAACCCTTTATGACTAGGAAAGTAGGGACCATAATTATCATTACTTCTAATACAAACATACCCCCCTCTGATTGTCCCCATAACCCAATCTATCCATTTATCAGGGAATCCTTTCCCTTTTAACATTTGAAATACAAAACACCATTTTATTTTATCATATTCTTTTTCAAAATTGACCTTAAACAGTAAAGCATCTTGTTTTTTGGTATGCACGCTGTTTAGATCTTCATGTAACACCAGCACACCTTCCATGATGTATCTACATTTAATAAAGACAATTTGAACCGGAAAAACTATTGTGTCATCCAGCAAATTTAATCTATTCATTAATACTTTGGTGAAGATTTTAAAACTCACATTCAGCAAGCATATAGGCCTATATTTCTGAATCTGGTGGGCATCTTTACTCTCAGGTTATAGAGTAATAATCCCGTAATTCAGTCTTTTGATATGTAGAACCCCATTATAAAAATCATTAGGGCCAGGGGATTTGTTATGCGCCATTTGGAAAACTGATTTCTTAATTTCCTCCATGAAAACTCCCCAACCAGAGCTTCTTTATGAGCTGGTAACACATTAGTAGGACTGTCTACACACAAGGATATGTGAGATAGTTCGAGGTGGCCAAATAGCCCCATATAAAAGTTAGTAATGTAATCAGTCAACAGTTTATCCCCCTCAATTCTCCCCTCATCTTGATCCAACCCAGTAATTTTGTTTTTCCTATGTCTTCCATTAGCTTTTGCATGAAAATACTTTGTGTTGCAACCCCCATCTATTAA